GTGACGACATGTTCGACCGGAACATTATCAACAAGGTGTTCCAGGGCAAGGTCGTCGAGCTCGACAAGAAGTTCGACTGCATCGATCCCGTAGGCGTGCCGCCTGGCCTCAAGAAGCCCTGCAATAAGAAACACAGATGCAAGAAACACGATTTCGTGATCTCGCCCTTCACGGGCATGTTTAATCCCACGAAGGCGACATCTTTCTACCTAAGGATGGTGCAGCAGCCTGAGGGTTCCATGGCCACCTGCGAGAACACCAACCACGGAGGATGCCAGAAGTGGGCCGAGTACTATTGGCCATGCACCAGCAGCATAAGCACCTCGCGCCCGAGCTGCAGGAGGCGCTTACGGTGTCGCGCGGTTGTTGCTTGGGTAAATGCCACCAGAAACCCGGGAGGAGGAACAGGAGGAGGAGGAGGAGGAGGACGAGGAGGAGGAGGAGGAGGAGGAGGAGGAGGGGAAGGAGGAGGAGGAGAGGAGGAGGAGGAGGAGAGGAGGAGGAGGAGGAGGAGGAGGGGGAGGAGGGGAGGAGGAGGGGGAGGAGAGGAGGAGGAGGAGGAGGAGGAGGAGGAGGAGGAGGAGGAGAAAGGGAGGAGGAAGGAGGAGGAGGAGGAGGAGGAGAAGGGGAGGAGGAGGAGGAGGAGGAGGAGGAGGAGGAGGAGGAGGAGGAGGAGGAGGAGGAGGAGGAGGTGGAGGAGGAGGAGGAGGAGGAGGAGGACCGCCCCGTGGGCGGCGTTGCAGGCAGGCAGCCGCCCCTGCTCCGGCGGCCCGGTGAGCCGCGCTGGGCCCTTTGGCCTCGTCCTCCGCCTCCTCGTCCTCCGCCTCCTCGTTCTCCTCCTCGTCCTCCTCTCTGCTCCTCGTTCTTTCGTCTTCCTCTCTGCTCCTCCGTCGCGCGCTGGGCAGCACATGGTTTGGTGCAACGGCCGCGCCGGGCCAGCACTGGGTGCCCCCCAGCACTGGGTGCCCCCCAGCACTGGGTGCCCCCCAGCACGGGGCCGTGCGTCCCCGTGCAAGGCGCCGCCCTGCTGCAGGCAGTTAGGAGCCACGCCCCGCGTGGTTTTGCTTTGGACCGCCCGCGTGGGTTACGCCACGGGTTCTCATCTCGCTTGGGCGATTCGTCGGCTCCTCCTCACGCTGAGCCCCCAACACTAGCCCGCAAATGTGGCAAGAGGGCATGCCATGTGGCCGTCTAGGGGAGGAAGATGTTTGTGGGTTGCCTCTCCGACTGGTCCAGTGCGCCCGCACGGACAATCGGGCAATGCACTCGGTGCGGCCGGCCAGGGGCGCTCGAGAGACCTTACCGAGACCTCGAGACCCCACGGGCCGACGCACCAGACCCACCAGGGAGGGAGGGTGGGGGAGCTGGCGACGCCAGCCAAGGGCCCACTGCCCATTGGCGGAGCAGCGTCCTGCCAAGCGCCCTCCTGGGGCACCCCCACAGTCACGTAAACGCCAACATCAGCCACCATGGGGCGTGCTGGGGCCCTCAAGGGCTTCCAACAGGCCCCCCATGGAAGTCGGCGACGCTGCGCCCCCCTCGCCAGGCCCTCGCGTCGCCAGGGAGGGCGCAACGACCCCATCGGGAGCGAATGCCAACAGTGGATATCCCGCCTCGGACTAGGGCGGAAGCTAAATCGGCCAGTCGCGACGAACCCTCGAATCCAGCCATGGCGACAAGGAAGCAGCCTGCCCAGAATCTTCTTCCCCAGGAACCACGCTCAGGCATGATGAAGAGGAAGAGGAGAAAAGAGAGGAATCATAATAATAACGAGGAGGAGGAGGAGGAGGAGGAGGAGGAGGAGGAGGAGGAGGAGGAGCAGAAGACCTCTTTGCTGACCCTTGGGGCCCTCCTGGCGCATCCTGCGGGCCTCCAGGGGGCCTCCTGGGGGCCTTTGGAAGGGCGCCTCACAGGGACTGCGTGCTCTTCGGAGGCCCGTGTTGCACGCCATCTTTTCAGCCCCGACCGTCTCAGACGTGGGCACCCGATCTGCTCCCCGTCCGCCTCAGGGAGGGGAGGAGGCTGAAGAGAAAGGGGCACAGCAGAGAGACGACGGGAAGATGAGGAGAAGAGGGGGTAGGCCTTGTTTATTGAATCGCTTCGCTCATTCCGCCGGCCCGTGATATGGCATCGCTGGTTTTTGTCTGTGTGTTCGTTGCCCATGTTGCGCTCTTGGGGGCGGGTGTCGTTCGGACGCGTTGCGTGGGGAGTTTTGATGGTGAAGCAGTTCCCTGGGGGTCGTCTCTCGATGGGGCGAAATAGAGTCGTCGTCAAGATGCTTCTTTGGGGGGCCTCTTGGGGTCTGTTGAGAGGCCGTTCGGGGGCGCCTGGGAGACATGTTTGAAGCCTTCTGGGGCTTCTTTTGGGCCTCCTGGGAGTCTCATGGGGCCTCTTGGCGACATCTTGGGGCCTCTTGGAGGCCTCTTGGGGCCTCTTTGGGACCTCCTGGGCGCCTTCTGGGACGGAGGGCTCCATTTTTGAGTTCTCGGTATCCCTCTGA